AGAAACTCAGACACTAGACACTCAGACACAAGACACTCGGATACTAGACACTCAGACACTAGACACTAGACACTCAGACACGGTTTCGAGACACTCAAACACTTGACACTCGGACACTAGACACTCAGACACTTGACACTCGAATACTAGACACTCAGACACTAGACCCTCAGACACTAGATACTCAGACACTAGACACTCAGACACTCGACACTCACACACTAGATACTCAGACACTAGACACTCAGACACTAGACACTCAGACACTTAGACACTAGACACTCAGATACAAGACACTCAGACACTCAGACACTCAGACACTAGACACTCAGACACTCAGACACTCAGACACTCAGACACTAGACACTAAGATACTAGACACTAGACACTCAGACACTAGACAATCAGACTCTTGACACTCGGACACCAGAAACTCAGACACTAGACACTCGGACCCTAGACACTCAGACACTAGATACTCAGACACTAGACACTCGGACACTAGACATTCGGACCCTAGACACTCAGACTCTAGACACTCCGACACGGTTTCGAGACAGACACTAGACACTAGACACTCAGACACTATACACTAGACACTCGGACACTAGACACTCGGACCCTAGACACTCAGACACTAGACACTCCGACACGGTTTCGAGACACTCAGACACTAGACACTAGACACTCAGACACCATACACTTAGACACTAGACACTCAGACACTAGACACTCAGACACAAGACACTCGGATACTAGACACTCAGACACTAGACACTAGACACTCAGACACTTGACACTCGAACACTAGACATTCAGACACTAGACCCTCAGACACTAGATACTCAGACACTAGACACTAGACACTCCGACAGGGTTTCGAGACACTCAGACACTAGACACTCGGACACTAGACACTCAGACATTAAACACTCGGACACTAGACACTCAGACACTAGACACTCAGACACTATACACTTAGACACTAGACACTCAGACACTAGACACTCAGACACTAGAAACTCAGACACTAGACACTCAGACACAAGACACTCGGATACTAGACACTCAGACACTAGACACTAGACACTCAGACACGGTTTCGAGACACTCAAACACTTGACACTCGGACACTAGACACTCAGACACTTGACACTCGAATACTAGACACTCAGACACTAGACCCTCAGACACTAGATACTCAGACACTAGACACTCAGACACTCGACACTCACACACTAGATACTCAGACACTAGACACTCAGACACTAGACACTCAGACACTTAGACACTAGACACTCAGATACAAGACACTCAGACACTCAGACACTCAGACACTAGACACTCAGACACTCAGACACTCAGACACTCAGACACTAGACACTAAGATACTAGACACTAGACACTCAGACACTAGACAATCAGACTCTTGACACTCGGACACCAGAAACTCAGACACTAGACACTCGGACCCTAGACACTCAGACACTAGATACTCAGACACTAGACACTCGGACACTAGACATTCGGACCCTAGACACTCAGACTCTAGACACTCCGACACGGTTTCGAGACAGACACTAGACACTAGACACTCAGACACTATACACTAGACACTCGGACACTAGACACTCGGACCCTAGACACTCAGACACTAGACACTCCGACACGGTTTCGAGACACTCAGACACTAGACACTAGACACTCAGACACCATACACTTAGACACTAGACACTCAGACACTAGACACTCAGACACAAGACACTCGGATACTAGACACTCAGACACTAGACACTAGACACTCAGACACTTGACACTCGAACACTAGACATTCAGACACTAGACCCTCAGACACTAGATACTCAGACACTAGACACTAGACACTCCGACAGGGTTTCGAGACACTCAGACACTAGACACTCGGACACTAGACACTCAGACATTAAACACTCGGACACTAGACACTCAGACACTAGACACTCAGACACTATACACTTAGACACTAGACACTCAGACACTAGACACTCAGACACTAGAAACTCAGACACTAGACACTCAGACACAAGACACTCGGATACTAGACACTCAGACACTAGACACTAGACACTCAGACACGGTTTCGAGACACTCAAACACTTGACACTCGGACACTAGACACTCAGACACTTGACACTGGAATACTAGACACTCAGACACTAGACCCTCAGACACTAGATACTCAGACACTAGACACTCAGACACTCGACACTCACACACTAGATACTCAGACACTAGACACTCAGACACTAGACACTCAGACACTTAGACACTAGACACTCAGATACAAGACACTCAGACACTCAGACACTCAGACACTAGACACTCAGACACTCAGACACTCAGACACTCAGACACTCAAACACTAGACACTAAGATACTAGACACTAGACACTCAGACACTAGACAATCAGACTCTTGACACTCGGACACCAGAAACTCAGACACTAGACACTCGGACCCTAGACACTCAGACACTAGATACTCAGACACTAGACACTCGGACACTAGACATTCGGACCCTAGACACTCAGACTCTAGACACTCCGACACGGTTTCGAGACAGACACTAGACACTAGACACTCAGACACTATACACTAGACACTCGGACACTAGACACTCGGACCCTAGACACTCAGACACTAGACACTCCGACACGGTTTCGAGACACTCAGACACTAGACACTAGACACTCAGACACCATACACTTAGACACTAGACACTCAGACACTAGACACTCAGACACAAGACACTCGGATACTAGACACTCAGACACTAGACACTAGACACTCAGACACTTGACACTCGAACACTAGACATTCAGACACTAGACCCTCAGACACTAGATACTCAGACACTAGACACTCGACACTCACACACTAGATACTCAGACACTAGACACTCGACACTCACACACTAGATACTCAGACACTAGACACTAGATACTAGACACTCCGACAGGGTTTCGAGACACTCAGACACTAGACACTCGGACACTAGACACTCAGACATTAAACACTCGGACACTAGACACTCAGACACTAGACACTCAGACTCTAGACACTCAGACACGGTTCCCCCTGGAAACCATCATGGTTAATTCTTGTCGAATTCGTCATGGGGGGCCAACTGACCTGCATTCATTCATTCTCACCTATCATCCTTCACTGGTGCCTCATCGGTGTATACCGATAGCCCGGGTGGAGTTACTATTCCATTTTTACCTATTAAAAAAAAAGACACTGGTTACCATTTAGTATCAAATTACTCGTCAAGACGAATTAAACGAGCCCAAACTCGATGGGGTTGCGTCGTTTAATTACGGAGTTTCTATGGCCACCTTGCAACTCCATCATCAGGCCCTGGTTACCATCTAGTATCAAATTACTCGTCGATTTAAACGAGCCCAAACTCGATGGGGTTGCGTCGTTTAATAATGGAGTTCCTATAGCCACCTTCCGGCTACAACATCAGATCCTGGTTACCATCTAGTATCAAAGTACTTGCCAAGACAAATCAAATGAGCCCAAACTCACTGGGGTTGCATCGTTTAATTACGAAGTTCCTCTATCATATTAATATTGCATTGTCATCTGATTTGTACTTGTCCAGAGTTCAGTTAGAACAAGCTAGGTCACAATTCAAATCGAAAAACAGAAATACACGTAGTCGCTTATTAATCACAATAACATGCCAACACAATGTAGGTAGATCTCTAGCCGCAGAGTTGCCATTAAAATAATTAATTGTTACTCAAATGTTAAATATTTTTTCTTTAAACCTATAGAGCTTTCTTCATTGTACTCAAGCACAAATTTGTATCAAGTTCTCTACATTTTGCCATGTAACCACAAAGAGAACGAGAAAAAAATACTATACTAATTTTATAACGCTGTCTGATTTACAGATACCACAAATGTAAAATAAAAAAAAAAAATAAAAAAAAATAAGCAAACTTCTCCAAAGTTTTTTGACTTATTTTCAAACATTTTACTAAGATTTTTTTGTTTCGCGAACAATTAATTTTTATCCATAATTGCGACAAAAGTACGCAATCTGGCAACGCTGTATCTAGAAATTTCAGGTAAACGGATAAAATAAATTTAGTAGTGTACTAAATAAAAACAGCGCCATCTGTAAAATGATGTGTACAAACTTGTAGCACGACCGCGTTAGCTAAACAATGCTAATTAGATCGAAGAGTTTCCAGGTAAAAATAAAACAATTTATGAATTTTAATGTAACTAATGAGTTTTGGTTTAAGAATTTATTTTATTCATTTTTACGTTTTTAGAAGATTTTTAAAATAAAAGTATATATATATATATATTATAAATGATTTTGTTTGTTTTCTGAAACTTACGGAAGCATTAATAGTAAATCGCGACCAGTATCGCCATCTATTAAAAATTTTTCCGCGCGGCCATTTTTTGTTCGTCATCGTGTCCCCCTGGTAATGAGGTCTAATGAACCCATTGCTAACAATACACCCTATCAGGTCGACCTCCACGTGGTTCCCCTGGAAACCATCGTGAACAATTCTTGTTGAATTCGTCACGATGGGCTAACTGACCTGCTTCATCCTCACCTATCATCCCTCACTGGTGCCTCGCCGGTGTATACCGATAGCGCGGGCGGGGTTACCATTCCATTATCACCCATTAAAAAAAAAATACCTTTTTTTGGCGGAACACCAGTCAAGGATGATATGCGAGGGTAAAGTCAACTTAGTCAACCCATTATGACGAATCTCTGCTCAGTACCTAATAGGATATATTGCAAGCAATGGGACACTTATCCCCAATCATAAACAATCCTCTCTACTATGAATCAATCAATACATATAATAAAATCGTAACTGGTCGATGTACAACTATGTATACTTATTACTTTCTAAATTAACTAAATAAGTAAACCGTGCGATGCCGGGGCGGGTTGCTAGTTACAAATAAAAGAAACAGTCTCCAGTGGTAAACATTTATTATATAAACACCGTAGCGGGCTTAGTCAAATCGATACAGTTCATAAGAGGAAATAACTTTATATTTTTTTTTAATGGGTAATAATGGAATGGTAACCCCGTCTACGCTATCAGGATACGCTGGCGGGGCACCAGTGAAGGATGATAGGCGAGGATGAAGCAGGTCAGTTGGCCCATCGTGACGAATTCAACAAGAATTGTTCACGATGGTTTCCAGCGGGAACCACGTGGAGGTTGACCTGATAGGGCATATTGCTAGCAATGGGGCTGTCAAACTCCATTGCTAACAATCCCTTTCCCCCCAATAACTTTATATTGTTACCACACGTTTTATATTTTGTGATTACATTGCAGTGTACTTACAGCTAGCTCAAAACGTATCACAGCAAGTTTTAGTGCTACAATTAAAACAAAAGATTACTTTTTAAACAATTTCTGTCATTATTTATATCTTAACGCCAACTCCTTGGCGGGGTAGACAGAGGATTTAATATACGTCGTATAATTGACCAATCATTTTTGAAAATATTAATGAAAATTAATTATAATTAAAATACTTGTCCAACTTGTCACCAGAGGGAGACTTTGTACAAAAGTCGATTGCTTGGGTACCTTTGTCCCATTCGTGTTTCAACCGTGAAGCAGTTGTGTTTGCATGGCTGTGTTTCGGTTTGAAGGGTGGGATATGGCGTGAATTTACTGGGTACAGAGGAATAACACCTGAGTCCTCAGGAATGGCAACGCATGGGTAGTATCGTACTGCTCATGTCTATAGGAGACGATTACCACTTTCCATCAGGTGAAATACGGAAAAAAACGGAAATACAGTCTTGCACGCACAGCTGATTGTAGGCAGAAACACGAGTGGGACAGACTTACCCCATATAAATACTGTAGATTTGAGATTAAAAATCTATGAGTTTTGAATTACATAACAGACGCAGGATTTCGAATTTTCATATATTTTTTTTATTACACTGTACATAACAAATTATTCAGAATTGAATTCATTAACCCCAATAGAAACATGAGATTTCTCCACATTGACCTATGCATCAAATTAACATAAAAATAAAATTCAAGGGAAATTTAATTACATATTGCTTTGCTTCATGTCTGAATCTAGTTTCTTATTTCTACTATCATTAAAGTTAAATTTCACTCACAGAAAACAAAACTAAAAATAACTAACAGGATTTTCTTGGTTTTTTTTTACAAATATTCTAAATAATATTCTAAAAAGTATTAAACGACGTTATAGATAATAATAGTACATTACTGCAGCGGCCAGCAACTGAGGCATTGATGGACAAACGTGCAAATGTGGGCCGAGACATAGCCGAGGCACACATACGTGAGTCCATCAATGCCTAGTTGTGGCCAAGACTTGTATAGTACTTTTCTCAAACAATGCGCGGAAATCAAAAACACAATTTTACTTTTTAAGTTCAATGACGAATAAAGAAAAATAATAATTTTTCACGCGCCATAATGTTCTTTTGAATTTTTCTTTTTTTCAATAAACAGTTTTCTATTTGAAAGCCAGTTCGAAATTTAAATAAAACCTTTTATTAGTTACCTCTTTGGTAGCCATGTTTTAAAGTAAAAGGTCATTCCATTTTTAAATTACAGGACAGATATGAGTTTACATAGTAATTTATCTGGCCGCAAAACACGACAGATATGGATACAACTTTTCATACAACTTTTGCCGGCCGCTGCCCGCATGTATCTGGCCAGTACGGCAATATTGATTTATCTCGAAGAAGATTGTCAAAATAATGCTCACATTTCCAAGCATGTTTGAGAAAATTATATATTTTAATAAAACACGTATTTAAAAAAAAAAACTATAACCAGTTTGTCGTTGTTATTTATAATTTAATATTATATTTGATTGTTTGTTTTTAATGTATAAACTCAAAAACTTTAATCTAATTTAAAAATTGTTTCACCTATAGAAAGCTATATTATTTATGAGTGACATACAATATACGTATTAGTTTTTAAAATTCTATTAATCCGTGCAAAGGCGGGCCGAATCGCTAGTATACTATGATAATAAAATTGAGAATACAGTTTCTATATTTGGCAGAAAATGTTTTTTGAATTAAGTACCAGAGGGAGACTTTGTACAAAAGTCGATTGCTTGGGTACCTGTGTCTCATTCGTGTTTCAACTGTGAAGTAGTTGTGTTTGCATAGCTGTGTTTCAGTTTGAAGGGTGGGATATGGCGTAAATTTACTTGGTACAGAGGAATAACACCTGAGTCCTCAGGAATGGCAATGCATGGGGGGTATCATGGGCGAAACAGTATACTCTATTATGTCCATGATACTGCTCATGTCTATAGGCGACGGTTACCACTTTCCATCAGGTGGGTCGTCAGCTTGTGTGCCATTCTAAGTTGTATAAAAAAAAAAGAGTAGTAGACTAAAATTAACCTACTCATTGCACTCTAGTTTAGTAACTCATACCAATAACTTCAGTACTGTATTAGTTACAAGTACATACCTGTGATGTAAAAGAAAAATGGAGTTGTTGCAATAAAACAAAACATTTACTTCTTAGCTTTTTTTTTTATACAACTTAGAATGGCAAACAAGCTGACGGCCCACCTGATGGAAAGTGGTAACCGTCGCCTATAGACATGAGCAGTACCATGGACTTACGTATGTGTGCCTCGGCTACGTCTCGGCCCACATTTTGCACGTTCGTCCATCAATGCCTCAGTTGCTGGCCGATGCAGTAATATACTATTTTTTTATCTAACAAGTTACTATTGCTTTTGACTGATGTTTTATTGCAGTCAAAAGTACTTTTGACAGCAACATACTCATTTAGATAAAAAAAGAATTGCCAAATCGGTTTACAACTGACGGAGTTATGAGTTAATAAACATTAAAAAAATACAACCATATCGAGACTGTCTTTTCTTTAAGTCTGATATAAAAATTTTAGTTTTTTTAAACACGTGTTCGTCATACAATGTGATCGTGCGAGCGCGGCGGTTACCGCTTGCGGCGGCGGTGGCGCTGCGGGCGGTTGTCGGCAGGGGGCGCGACGGTGACGGTGGCGGCGGCCAGCTCGGCCGACGACGCCGTGCTGCTGTGCTCCAGCTTGTCGCGCGCCTCCACGAAGAACATCACGTCGCGGAGCTGTTCCTTCAGCTCGGTTATCTGTATCACCACGCGTATTATAAGTTTTATCATCATCACCTTCATCCTAGCGGCCGTTAACTGTCCTCTGCTGAACATAGGATTTTCCCCTGGTTTTGACACAAATTGCCGCGTTTAGGAGAGGGGATGGCAGCCACAGTTAGGCTTTGGTAATGTTTTAAGAGGGACGTTGCTACCCATTCCTAGCCGTCCCTTAGTCTGCTCTTATGACACCATGGAAAGGGTGGCCCACTCTATGCCGGGATACGACCACCCAAAAAGGAGTGTAAAGTTTTTAAGGTTTATGTATGTATGTATGTGAGTTTCAATTTTATCAAAATCGGTTCAATTGTTTAATTTTTAAATCAAAATAACCGATTTTGCTACAAAAGAAATCGGATTTATTTTTTATGAGGGAGCTACTGTCAGGCGAATAATAGCAGTGGGGGGGGGGGGGGGGGACTGTTAATCAGGTCGACCTCTATTCAGTTCCCCTGGAAACAGTCGTGGTTAATTCTAGTGGAATTTGTCACGATGGGCTAACTGACCTGCCATTTCATCTTCACCTGTCATCCCTCACTGGTGCCTCGCCAGCGTATACTGACAGCGCAGGCGGAGTTACACTCCATTATCACTCACAGACAAAAAAAAATAACAATGGTGGTAATACTATACGAGAGGTTTTTGTGTACAAGGAGGCTACTAGAGGGCGGCACTATAGCAAGGCAAGGCTAGTACCTCCTTGAGGAAGGTGTCCTCGCGCGCGGCGGCCCGCGCCTGCCACTGCGCGTGGCTGCTGGCCAGCGCCGCCGCCAGCCCGCGCTCCTCCGCCAGCTGCGACTGCAGCGACGACACCCTGCCCACCAACACACACTGTATTGTTATTTTTTTATATACAACTTAGAATGGCAAACAAACTGACGGTCCACCTGATGGAAAGTGGTAACCGTCGCCTATAGACATGAGCAGTACCATGGACATAACAGAGTATACTGTTTCGCCCATGATACCCCCTCATGCGTTGCGATTCCTGAGGACTCAGGTGTTATACCTTTGTACCGAATGGGACAGAGGTACCCAAGCAATCGACCTTTGTACAAAGTCTTCCTCTGGTGATTGTAGTATTTTTAATTTTATTAAGAGGGAAAACATAAAATTGAAAATTATTCTTAATATCTCATTATTTATATCAGTGTGAGCATTGCGCCTGAGCATTTTACACCATTCCACAATTATTTTTTTGTACACTAAAATGAGCGAGCAAGGTTCAGATGGTACGGATACCAACTTGGTAGTGAGGTGGCGTAGTTTGCGATCGAGCGCGGTGTGGGCGCGTGTGAGGTCGGCCCGCTCCACACGCAGAGCATTAGCGGCCTCCTCTGCCGCCGCCGCGCGCGTTCGAGCCTCCTCCAACTCCGCTGCATGACTGCTTTCCAACCTAACAATGGAATTGTTTATTGTTCTTTCCACATGATTACAGTAATAAATAGAGCAGACAGAAAAGTACACAAGAATATGGATTCTTCTTAATTTATCTGTCTGTCTGCTCTGTCTCTATATGTTTACATAATTGAAAACTGGTCTTGTCATTTTCAAGTAATACATTTCCTAATGCTGTTTGGTTCTCGCATAGAGTTGGCCATCCTTTCCTTTCCCGTGAATATCGGAAGAGGCGACTAAGGGAACTTAATGGCAAAACTTCCCAATAGGGAGAGACTTATGTCCAGCAGTGGACAGTTAATGACTGATATTTATTTATTTTTTGGAAAACGTACAGCTGAATTACAGTCAATACATAATCAAATTTATATCTATGTTAAGCCATGAATCGTTTTCACATTTGCGTAATGACAATGATCGGTTTTTATATATGCAAAATATACACACACATACACATTATACACATACATACATACACACACATATATATATATATATATATATATATATATATATATATATATATATATATATATATATATATATATATATACACACGCATACAGACACACATCTATAATAATTAAAAAGTTAAGATTAAGATATGGTAATGATGCCATTACTTAATCAGTACCATTTAATTAATATTTTACTTTGGTCATTTAAATTAACATTCTACAAAAACATAGTCATCGAAGCAGCACATGTCCAGTTCCAAATTTTATAAAATTTTTTGTATCTATAATAAATTTAGTAATGTAATCCTTTGAAGGAAATAATAGAGTGTATAATAATAGGCCACCCATTCCTTTCCCGGGGATGTCGTTAAAAGCGACTAAGGAAGGGCGAGGGATGGGCAGCAGCGTCCATCTTAAAACATCACTCAAAGCCCAACTGCAGTTGCCTATCCACCTGCCATATGTGGCAACTACTGAAAAAAAAGGGGAAGGTTTAATTTTAGCAGTGGACAGTTAAAGGCTGATATGATGATGGTCTATCTATCTATCTACGAGAAATAATATAATATTTTTTATTTGCTTCACAAAGCAACTAAAAAAGCTTCAGCGGCTGTCGAGCTGCTGTCAGTATGCAAGTGGAGTGGTCAGCAGCACTACTCACTTGGCGATCTTCTCCTCGTAGAAGGTGCGCTGGCTGTCGAGCTGCTGCGTCAGTATATAGGTGAACTCGAGCTGCGCCGAGTCCAGCTTCTCCTCGCCGCCGCACGCCGTCTCCTCCGCGCCTCCTCCTCCCGCCGCCACCAGCTTGCCGTCCGTCTTGTTCTGCACCAGCCGGTGGACGAAGTTGTCGCCTGCAAAATTACATATCTTTTTTATACAAATAATAAAAAATATATTATTATTCATAGTCAGTTTGTATTACTGTTGTATGGATAAAAAGGCCATATTTTGGTCAAGTATTTACATTTAATCTTTAATTTGTATTTTACTTATCATTATTATTATTATTTTTTTGTTTTTATTTGTTCTCTCTTGTTTGTTTACTTTTTTTTTGTTAACTCCTATTTTTGTTGCTTTGTGTACAGTGCCTTGTATCTATATTGTTGCTACTTGTGAAAACCTATTAGTAGCTTGTTTTGTTATCCTAAAACTGTATCTATTTGCTGTAGTGTAGCCCTGGTGTTCCTATAAATAAATTAATAAAATAAAATAAATAAAATAATATCAAGACTTCATACCATAGTAAAGTGTAACAATGACGGAATATTTGTCAGAACTCAAAAACTATTCAACAAAAATGCTGTTATAGCTAAACAAGATCAAAATACTTAAAAGGTAAATGCCTTGTTCACATCACTACGTCGAAAGCATGTTCATTCATGTACATGTTTGCGATTAGCAAAGCTGGTATAATTGTATATATTGGTCATATATATTGGTAATACATATTTGTCATATATATTGGTCATATGTATTGGTAATATATATTGTCATATATATTGGTAATATATATTGGTCATACATGTTGGTCGCATACATTGGTCGTATATATTGGTCATATATACTGGTCATATATATTGGTAATATATATTGGTCATATGCATTTGTAATATATGTTGGTCATATATATTGGTAATATATATTGGTCATATGTATTGGTAATATATATTGTCATATATATTGGTCATATATATTGGTCATAAATATATGTCATATATATTGGTAATATATATTGGTCATAAATATATGTCATATATATTGGTAATATATATTGGTCATATATGTTGGTCATATGTATTGGTCATATGTATTGATCATATATATTGGTAATACATATTTGTCATATATATTGGTCATATATATTGGTCGTATATATTGGTCATATATATATTGGTAATACATATTGGCCATGTGTATTGGTCATATATATTGGTAATATATATTGGTCATATGTATTGGTAATATATATTGTCATATATATTGGTCATATGTATTGGTCATTATATTGGTCATATATATTGGTCATATATGTTGGTCATATGTATTGGTCATATATATTTGCCATATATATTTGTCATATATATTGGTCATATATATTGGTAATACATATTTGTCATAATATTGGTCATATATATTGGTCATATATATTGGTCATATATATTGGTCACATATATTGGTCATATATATTGGTAATATATATTGGTCATATATATTGGTCATATATATTGGTCGTATATATTGGTCGTATATATTGGTCATATATATTGGTCATATGTATTGGTAATATATATTAGTCATATATATTAGTCATATATATTGGTCATATATATTGGTCATATATATTGGTCATATACATGCGTAATATATATTGGTCGTAATACATATTTGTCATAATATTGGTCATATATATTGGTCATATATATTGGTCACATATATTTGTCATATATATTGGTTATATATATTGGTCATATATATTGGTAATATATATTGGTCATATATATTGGTCGTATATATTGGTCGTATATATTGGTCATATATATTGGTCATATGTATTGGTAATATATATTAGTCATATATATTAGTCATATATATTGGTCATATATATTGGTCATATACATGCGTAGTATATATTGGTCGTATATATTGGTCATATATATTGGTAATATATATTGGTCATATATGTTGGTAATATATATTGGTCATATATATTGGTAATAAATATTGGTCATATATGTTGGTCGTATATATTGGTCGCATACATTGGTCGTATATATTGGTCATATATACTGGTCATATTTATTAGTAATATATATTGGTCATATACATTAGAATATATGTTGGTTATATATATTGGTCGTATATATTGGTAATATATATTGGTCATATATATTGGTAATATAGATTGGTCATACATATTGGTCGTATATATTGGTCATATATATATTGGTAATATATATTGGTCATATGTATTGGTCATATATATTGGTAATATATATTGGTCATATGTATTGGTAATATATATTGTCATATATATTGGTCATATATATTGGTAACATGTATTGGTAATATATTGGTCATATATATTGGTAACATATATCGGTCTTTATATTGGTCATATATACTGGTCATATATATTGGTAATATATATTGGTCATATATACTGGTCGTATATATTGGTCATATATATTGGTCAAATACATTGGTAATATATATTTGTCATATATATTGGTAATATATATTGGTCTTATATATTGGTCATATATTGGTCATATATTTTGGTAATATATATTGGTAATATATTGGTCTGTTATAACAGAGTTCCGTAGGATTTGTATGGTTTTGAAGATTAATAGAGTATACCTGCATAATCCCACACTCGGTTCGACCCCAATTGCAGAGCGTAAGTGTGGTTTGACGCCAAAAAGTGTTTAGCGGCGTGCCCCCTCTCATACCTAGAAAGTGAATATTTTGATTACTTCACAAATCGTGTATAAAGTAGATTTTGTAAAATATTAATTTATAAGCTTATAAATGCAACTTTGGCACAAACGCACGCACTCACGCACGCACGCACACACGCACGCACGCACTCATACACACACGCACACGCGCGCGCGTACATACAAACAATGAGATAGTTGGTATTATTTTTATTTATTTTTTTTTAAAATATTCATAAACAATAATTTGTATTTGAATATCATAGTAGATGTTTTATGTTTTGTTTTATACAACTTAAAATGGCAAACAAGCTGACGGTCCACCTGATGGAAAGTGGTAACCGTCGCCTATAAACATGAGCAGTACCATGGACATAACAGAGTATACTGTTTCGCCCATGATACCCCCCCCCCCATGCGTTGCCATTCCTGAGGACTCAGGTGTTATTCCTCTGTACCCTATAAATTCACGCCATATCCCACCCTTCAAACCGAAACACAGCCATGCAAACACAACTGGTTCATGGTAGAAACACGAATGGGACAGAAGTACCCAAGCAATCGACTTTTGTACAAAATCTCTCTCTGGTAAATATATAAAAATGTTAGGAGCATGTGACAAATGTGACCGCAGGGGGCAGTAGATCAGTACGTACCGGCCGCAGCCGACGTGGCCGCAGATGAGGCAGATCCACAGCGTGCCCGCCTCCACGCCGTCCAGCAGCCCCTCCGCCAAGTCCGTGCCGCCCCCTCCCCCGCCGCCGCCCGGGCTCCAACCCTCCTCCGAGGGCTCCTCCTCCTCTGCGAATACAGAGCGCATATTCAAAATACGCACACTTAATGTTAGCATTAAGGCTAAATTTATTATTATTTCAGCCGTTAACTGTCCACTGCTGGACATACTGCTTTGCCACGCTTGGCATGAAACCGCAATTAGGAGTTTTTCCAGATAGTTGATTATAATTTTCCATGACACTCACGGGAATGGAAGGGATGGTTGGTAGAACCGTAATTAGATACAATTTTCAGAGATATTTTATTTAATGCACTTGTGCCAACGCCGTTTCCACTGTGAGAAGGCTCCTTGAAATGTCGTAGCTTTTTTTATCTCATTTATGCAGCCGATCGCTTGATTATAATGGAATTTTTCTCAAAAACTCACGGACAACAAGAGAGGTGTGGGCAGGGGCATTGTCGTGGTGAAGAATCCAACGCCCCTCTCGCGCCAATTCTGGACGAACTCGTGCCACACGAGCTTTGAGGCGTCTGAGCACATCGACGTAGAATTTTCCATCAACTGTCTGGCCTGGAGGGACGAATTCTTGATGGACAATCCCCCGAACATCGAAAAAAACAATCAACATTGTCTTGACATTTGAGCGGGATTTTCTTGATGGTTCCCCGGATGTCTTACTCTTTGCTTTATTCTTGCCGAGTTTCGAGAGAAACTTGACGACTGCTCTTCAACGGAAGCGGGCTCCATGCCGACGGGGTTTCGTTAAGAGGTACTTCACAGATGGCGTATCAAAAACAGATAGGTCTTGAACCATATGATGCGTTTGAATCAAGTGTTAATTATGACCTTGGTCTCAGGTATTTTAAAAAGTTTTTTATGCAACTTACAATGGCAATTAAGCTGACGGCTCATATGATGGAAAGTGGTAACTGTTCCCTATAGACATGAGCAGTACCATGGACATAACAGAATATACTATTTCGCCTATGATATCCTCCATGCGTTGCCATTTCTGAGGACTTTTTTTTATACCACTGAGGTGGCAAATAAGCATACTGCCCACCTGATGGTAAGCGGTTACCGTAGCCTATGAACGCCTACAGTACCAGAGGTATTACGCGCGCGTTGCCGACCCTGAACAAACATCTTTACCTCCCCTTTGATTCTCCTCATGCTGTAGTGTTGGGAGAAGCTCGGTAGGGAGGTGACAGTGCGGCGCGTGGCGCGGCGTACCTGCGGCGCAGGCGAGGCAGGCGGCGCGCGCGGCCGGCTCGGGCACCTGCGCGGCGCGGCACACGGGGCAGCGCGCGGCGCGCCAGCGCGCCAGGCAGGCGGCGTGGAAGGCGTGCGCGCACTGCACGCTCAGCACGCCGGCCACGCTCTCGTCCATGCGCTCCAGGCACACGGCGCACGTGGGCAGCTCCGTGTGCGCCGCCGGCGCCGCGCCGCCCGCCGCCCACTCCACGCGCGCCACCCACGCCGCGTGGCACAGCGCCGCCGGCTCCAGGCTGCTGTACGGCGCGCCGTCGAACACCTCGTAGAACGCGCGCGCCGCCGCGCCCGACCGGAACCTGCCGCACTCACCTCCATCCAACACTTCTCCCTTTGTAAACTTCATTCTCCGCGGAAACTTCTGCGGACCCCTTTCAGTAGTTTCCTAGTCGCCGGTGACACGCGTCAGAGGTAGCGAGCGGATGCTTATAGCGTTCCTAGGCAGGTCAGTTTGACTACACGACGTACCAGGCCACTCAGAAAGTATTTCGAGAAAAAGTTTCTATATATGTGAAACTGGCCAGTTATAATTTATTTAAAAATATAGTTCCTTGTAAGTAAAAATTGGAATGTTCTAAATTCAAAGCTTCCCTCCACATTTTTTGCGAGCTAATTAAAATTACCGTGTCCCATTGAAAAATGGATTAGCGTCGAGAACATTTTCGCGCTATGATTTTTTTACGATTTTAAATGGCACCCGAAACCGGACGAATCATACGATAGACGAAGATCCTTCTAAGGCAAGCGTGTGTCGTTAATATAATAAATTTAGGCGCAGTCGACTAACTTTGGGGAATGAAGAAGTGGTCGCCCTTTGACGGCTGTTACGAAAGAAAACGTGCTAGCAGTGAAAAATTTGATCCAAGACAATAGACGAGTTACATACCAAGAGATTCAACATATACTGCAGATTAGATCGGGAAGCCATCACGAGATTCTGCACGTGCATCCACGGGTGCAGAGAATAGTTTCGCGCTGAGTGCTGTACAGGCTCACCGATGTTCAGAAGCAGGCAAGGGTGGAATGGTGCCATAATATGATAGACAAATTTGAAGCAGGCTTATTTCGCCGTGTTTACAAGATCGTTACAGGTGATGAATCCTGGATTTATCAATACGATCCAGAAACAAAGCGCCAGTCGACGGTTTGGGTGTTTCAAAACAAATCAACGCCTACCAAAGTAAAGAGACCTAGAAGCGGGGGGAAGATTTTGATCGCGAGCTTTTTCAATTTGACTGGCTACTTGGTGTCAATTCCTTTACGAAACCAAAGAATCATTACCGCCGAATGGTATACTACCAAATGCTTGGTCTGCCAGTTTTCTCTGTTGTGAGCGACAAGCGGCCAAACACAGGGCTCTGCGGGCTACTGCTCCACCACGATACTGCGCCCGCCCACACCGCAATCAAAACGAGGGACCTCCTAGATAGCACACCGTTCAAACTACTGGGTCACCCTCTTTATAGCCCTGAACTAGCACCGTGTGACTTCTTCTTATTCCCAAAAATAAAAAATCAGCTTAAAGGGATATAATTTTCGTCGCCGGATAATGCTCTCTCAGCGTTCGAGCAAGCTGTAAACGAGGTGTCTGCGGCGAACTGGAAAAAGTGTTTCGAAAACTAGTTCAGACGCATGAAACTTTGTATAGAGACTGGTGGAGAGTACTTTGAAAAGATGTAATAAAAATATATTTACCTATTGAAAATTTTTTTTTAGTGTCGCAAAACTTTCTGGGTGTCCCACATATTGATGCATCAGCTCTTCAAAAAACATACATATACTATATATACATCAGTGGTAGTGCAACAAAATAACACATCAGTGATTGAAGGCTAAAAAGATCAATTCACAGATCAAATTACTTACGTAAGCAGTGCCATATAGTGATCCGGAGACCCATCCCGCAGCACCCTCACGTGAGCTATGTCCTGCTGACACGCTGCCGCAAACGCTAGCAGATCTGTCGCTCCCAAGGCACCGGGTACAGACAGCAAGCATAGGGTCTTCGCTTCCTCTGCTGCTTCCTTTAATTCACTGTATTGTAATAGAATAAAATTTCAATACACTTCTTGATTTACCCAGTACTTAAAAAAAAAAGCAGAAAGGAATTTAATTTTAGGAATAAGAATTTTTACTCAATATCAAGGCAGTTAACTTATTAGTATAAAATATTTTTTGTTATTCTTTGCTTTCATATATTAGTTTTCAATTTACATATCACCTTTTCACACTAAATTATATACTTTTATATAATCATCATTTCAGCTGTTACCTGTCCACTATTGGACATAAGCCTCCCCCATAAACTGCCATAAGAAATGGGTGTATTCATTACGAACAATTTACTATTAAGAGGATTTTGCCAGTATTTGCCACACTCAAAACTCTTATATACTTGTACATAAAAACAAAAATTATTGTTACAAATATATTTCTTTTTACTGTGACTCTAGTGACTCATCCCAGCTTCACATAGTTTTTTTTTTTTTTAAATAAAACATACCCATGGTACTCTCTGACATACACTTATCTATTGATCTGGCACCAGAATTAAAAGAGCTACAATGCTAATGAAATGAAATGAAATGAATTTATTTTGCTAGAATGCAGGTAATTTTAGATGATAGAGGTTTATATTTCCCGTGTACATTCTGCCTCTATGTCGGCGTGCAAATTTTATCAATATAAGAAATTTATATATATATATATTCTACATTATATTTCCTTTCCTTTGTCATACAATATATTATTATTATTTATTACAGTAAACGGAAAATAAAAGCCTATACAATAGTTGTCGAAATTAATAAAATATTTTAACAAACTGTGATATTAATTAGTGTATCAATGGTACCAGAAGCATCAATGCTATCTCTAGTGTAGGTTGTGAAGTGCATTTGTTTTTTTAGCGAAATATTCAGATCAATAACAGGATGGGAAGAGGTCACAACTAAAGTCAAAAGACTGAAATGGAGATTGGAAAATATTAAGAATTAACAGTAAACAGACCAATACTGTAATAGAATAGATTTATCTTTTTCATTTTTTTTTTTATCATTTATGTTATCTCACTTTTTTTGTATATGTATGTTATAATTTGTGTGCTGTAAGTAAGTAATGCAAATAAATTATCTATCTATCTATCTAGAACTATACAGAACTAAAAGGCAAAGAGGCTGCCAATAAAGTGTTGCAGGTGCATTGTAGCTTACAACAGCAAGGGATGGGGGAAAGGGATTGTGAGCAATGGAATTTGACAGCCCCATTGCTAGCGATATGCCCTACTGGGTCGGCCTTCACATGGTTCCCCCTGAAAATCATAGTGAACAATTTTTGTTGAATTTGTCAAGGTGGGCTAACTGATCTGCTTCATCCTCACCTATCATCCTTCACTGGTGCCCCACCGGTGTATACCGATAGCACAGGTGGGGTTACCATTCCATTATCACCCATTAAAAAAAACAGCAAGAGATAAAAAAAGAAGAGACTGGAGGAGGCCTTTGTGTTGAATGGATAAAATAAGAGAGCAACTGTTTTTGAGCATAATGATTAAATATATAAATCTATAGTTATAAAGTAAAGACATTGAAATTGAACTCTCAGATAATGTAGCTGAGATAAGTGAGATAATTTTTAAAAGAGATGGAGTTTTTATGATATTTTTAATGGATGATAATGGAATGGTAAACCCACATGCATTATTGGTATATGTTGACGGACTACCAGTGAGGGGATAGATGAGGATGAAACCAGGTCAGTTAGACTCATCCATCCATTATCCATGATGGTTTACAGAGGAACCATATGGTGGGTAAAATAACAGGGTATATTACTAACAATGGGGATTAACATCCCCATTTCTAATAATCCCACTCCCCCCCTTTATACTATTAGTTTGAATATATAATTCACAAACTACACTCACTTCTCTTTATACAAATGTAGCACTCCCTTGGTAACCTCCACAAGTGGGTTACCACAAAAGAAGGTGATTGTATTGTCATTTTCTGAGACATTGCTGCCCTTTGGTGGTGAGCGACGTGAACTTGTCGGCAATATACCAATGTCAGTATTAGGCCCACTGAGGACACTGGCATAGGTCTCGACTGTGATGGTTCTGGACTCGCGAGCACCGCGGTCTTTCTTTTTTTGTTCCTTTGCTGCTTCTAAAAATGCAAATATCTTTAGTCACTTAAAAAAATCCCAAATTTTAATTTTAATAGTAACTTCTGTAAAGTAAATTAGAGATGCTACCATATGAAGTCCTAAATAACTTTTGTAGAAACTGGATAAAACAAACAATAGGTTGAATACATTATTGATTTCACAAAAAATTTGTTATTTACCAATTTCTGCTGGATTATCTCCCATTTCAGGTAGCTCTTCGTCGATCTCTATTCTCAAAACGCACAAAGAAACAGGCATTTACAGTTAATAAATAAGAATGTTTAATTACAAAATACAATAGCACCCAATGTATATAGTTTTCAAAACAAACATGGGATTAGCCACGACATTCAGAATAAATTAATTCTATAAGAAGAACAATTATACTTTATACTATTTAATATAAAAGCTCAGCACTTTTCTAAAAATAAATTTAGAAATTGTTATTGTTGAAGGAGGTAGGGCATAAAAAAATACTTTTTTTTTTTTTTTTTTTAGTACGTTTGTTCCGTTTGGAACAGGCTAAGGTCGGAGACCATGCTGCCTAGTCTTCAAAAAGATAATTTGTCTGGAATAAAAAAATACTAATAAAACGTCAAAACAAAAAAAATTTCATTACATATTATTGTTTTAAAATTCGTTCTATATTGGACAGGCAAAGAGCATGGTCCATACAACCTAGTCATTAGTGTCGTAGATATTATAATATGCCCAATCTATGTTAAGATTTACAACTAAATTTCATCAATCAAAATTTTTATACAATTTATGATGGACCAAACAGTAATTTCGCGTAACTATCGAATTAAAATATTAGATTAAGTTTAGAATCGAGCTTATTAACTTGTCAATTGAATAATGACACAAAACATTGTAAAGTAGCTGATCTGTGCAATAAAAGAAAGGAAAACAGAACAAAAAAAAGTAAAATAAAAAATACACATTTCAACATGGCTGCAGGCAGATCATACGACGTGAGCTGTCAGCTGTAGTAGTTTTTATTTCTTTGTGTTTATTGCGCCTATAAAAATGTTATGATCGTTACGTGCATACGAATATGGGTGCGAAAGACTCAAAACCTAGTTTTATATCATATGAAGATGCTGAAAAACGGGGTACGGGAATGTGCAAAAAGTTAATTGCACTATGTGCGTTGTTAAATTGTCAAATATCAGCATAATGTGTTGTTTTATTTACAGTGTCTGATAGTGAGGTGAGACGTATCCGTGAGGCGTTCAAAAGATGCGCTGCGCCAAGCGGCACGGCCTTGAGCCTTGAAGCGTTCGTTCATGAAGTGTTGTGCGATGGAGTGCCATACGAAGTGGCCGAGTGGCTGTACCAGGCCTGTGGAGGTACCAAAAGAGGTATCGGCTTCAGGGATCTGTTGCGTGGAATCGTAGTGCTCACAAAAGGAAGTTTAGAAGAAAAGATCAAGTAAGAACAGAAAATATAAAACCATTCAGTTCACTATATACGCAGGTGACAACAATGTTAAATTTCTTTTAGGTTTCTTTGGACACTCTACGTAAACAACCAGAATGACAATGGCACATACATATATAAGAGAGATTTTGCGAAGGCCCTACACCTTGAGAATACATCTCTACCAGTGACCGAAGCACCAAGAAGTACGGAAATACTTCTAAGTTTATTTGGTCCTGGGGAGAAGGTCACATTTGAGCAATTCAGGTCATGGCTACTCATACACAAAGATGCCACAGTGTTGTCCAAGTGGTTGTTGGCGGAAAGGGGGAACATAGCACAGGAGTTGGAGACACCAACATTTTACCAGAGCTTGGCCGGTGTAACCCATTTGGAAGAGAGGGTAAGTACTTTTATCACTATCACTTGTAAACTTGACTCTTGTTTGCTATTAATCAAATCATATAAACTTGTTGAAGTTTGATCATGAACTCATTTAATGAAGGATGAAATTATTGAAAATAAATTTTGTAATCATGCAAAGTGTTTGTCTTTTGGCATGAAGACACACATGTTATTACTTTTATTTACAAAATGTTTTTTTTAACTGCTTAATACAAGATGCAACAAAATTTTAATTTTTTTTAACTAGGAAATTATGTCTAGTCTTAAGTAAAACAGTACATATTTTTTTTTACATTAAAGTACAAAAACTATGTCTAACTCACTCAATTAAATAATTAACCATTCATTACCTGTTATGACAATCAGCCTGAAACACTTTTTTTTATAACAATTAAACTCTACTAGATATTATTTATCCTTCTATTCATCAGATATGGAATCATTATCATACAGATATGGAAACTATTCATAATATTTCTATTAATATTTACATAATAGCAAATGTTATGATCATTACGTGCATAGGAATATGGGTGCGAAAATATAAATTTATTGAGAAATATTACTTTTTTGTGTCTAAAAATTTTATGGATTCGTGACACTTATAAGTTTAGACTTAATATTATATTAGTTTTTTTCTTTAATGGGTGATAATGAAATGGTAACCCCGCCTGCGCTAACGGGATACGCTGGCGGAGCACCAGTAAAGGGTGATAGATGAGAATGAAAACAGGCCAGTTAGCCCATCATGATGAATTCATCAGGAATTAACCATGATGGTTCCCAAGGGAAACCACATAGAGGTCAACCTCATAGGGTGTTTTACTGGCAATAGGTCAGTTAGATCCCATTACTATGTGAAAAAGACTCCATTTTCCACACTTAGCCTCTCACTTGGGCCATTGTGCGTAGATCCCATTACTAATAATCCCTTTCTCTCCTATGGTATTGGGTTAGCCCATACCATAATCAGTTTAGGTGTAATTTGTATGAAATCAAAATTAAAATATTTCCTTAAATGAAGATACAGAAAAATCAATTATTCATATACATATACTCAACCAGGTCGTCCTCGCGGTTCCCCCTGGAAACTATCATGGTTAATTCCTGATGAATTCATCATGATGGGCTAACTGGCCTGTTTTCATTCTCATCTATCACCCTTCACTGGTGCTCTGCCAGCATATCCCATTAGCGCAGGCGGAGTTACCACTCCGTTTTCGTTCACCAAAAAAAAAAATTATTCATATAAATTGAATTAGTGTATTTGTATTCATAAATGTAATATTTGTCACCGATCACAATAACATTGTGTGATGTCCTTGTCATAGATAGATCTCTTGTTAGACTGTTAGACTGTTTTTTTTTTATACAACTTAGAATGGCAAACAAGCTGACGGCCCACCTGATGATAAGTGGTAACCGTCGCCTATAGACATGAGCAGTACCAAAATAGAGTAAACTGTTTCACCCATGATACTCCCCATGCGTTGCCATTCCTAAGGACTCGAATGTTATCCCTCTGTACCTTGTAAATTAACACCATATCCCACCCTTCAAACCGAAACACAGCTATGCAAACACAACTGCTTCACGGTTGAAACACGAATGGGACAGAGATACCCAAGCAAACGACTTTTGTACAAAGTCTCCCTCTATTTCACTTTTTATGAGACTTGGCATAATGTGCACTACCAACACGCCAGTGGCTGGTGTATATTATATTCTAGATTTAGGCAAGATCTCTAGATCTAAGCAAATCTTCATTGTTTAGTTTCATATAATACACAGTATCATAGAGAATCAATCAAATAATAGGTGTCATTGGGAGGAAAGGGATGGTAAATAGTGGACTGAAACTGCCTTATTGCTAGTAATATTACTTTATCAGGTTCATCTCCACATGGTATCCCCTAAACTCATCAGTCTATATATATATATAGTGTGTATAAAATTCTCGTGCCACGGTGTTTGTTGCATCTCCTCCGAAACGGCTTTACCGATTTTTATGAAATTTTGTGTGCATATTAGGTAGGTCTGAGAATCGGCCAACATCTATTTTTCATACCCCTCAATAATAAGGGTGACCCTCCCCAAAAAAATTGGTATTTTTGTGTGTGTTTGTAATGGATAAACTCAAAAACTAATTTCCCGATTTCAATAATTCTTTCACCATTACAAAGCTACATTCACCCTGAGTAACAAAGGCTATATTTATTGCTAGAAAGATTTGGGATTCTGGCTAAAACTTTAGTAATGTAACTTAAGGTGTAAAAAAAATGCTATAAAATATCGTGAATTTACTGGGTACAGAGGAATAACACCTGAGTCCTCAGGAATGGCAACGCATGGGGGTATCATGGGCGAAACAGTATACTCTGTTATGTCCATGGTACTGCTCATGTCTATAGGCGACGGTTACCACTTTCCATCAGGTGGGCCGTCAGCTTGTTTGCCATTCTAAGTTATATAAAAAAAAAAAAAAAAAAAAAAAAAAATCTTTCTTCGCGTGCGCTGCGAAAACTATTGGTGATAGAACAAAATTATGTTCTACAATATTGAAGAAAATATTAATAACTACAAAAAACTTCGCGATACTATACTATACTATATGTCCAACTATTATCGTTATGTCACAATAACCACTTTTTGAAATGTCGTAAAAAGGTCCACCCGTGCGAAGCCGGGACGGGCCGCTAGTAGTAAATGTTGAAAAGCCAGTCATAAACACTTAAATGAAAGTGTCAATCGGTAGTTGTCTAGTGATTTCTTATCACACAATGCTTTTTGTATCAATGATGTCATTATAGCTAATTAATAGAACAAGGTAATACTAGAAATACCTTTTAGTGAGATAGCTAGCTTATTAAATATAATGTAGTTTGTCATTGTAAGAGGAATGCAAACATTATCTGAATTACCTCTATTTATACCACATGTTACATACAACAATGCAAATGAATTCTCTTGGTAGCAATACAATGTATACAAATACTTTGTCTCTTTATTTTTTACTAGTTTTTCTTGTTTATTTTTTTTTTTTATATCACTGAGGTGGCAGACAAGCGTACAGTCCGTCCGATGGTAAATGGTCACTATAGCATGGACGCCAGGGGAGAGATTTGTTAGTAATGCGAACTACCAGTCCCATTGCTAGCAATATGCCCTGTCACGTCGACCTCCACGTGGTCCCCTGGAAACCATCATGATGAATTCCAGGTGTATTCATCACGATAAGCTAACTAACTAACTAAATTAGGTGGGCTGCGAGCTTGTTTGCCATGCCATTCAAGGAAATGACTTTTGTACAAAGTCTCCTTTTGGTACGCATTTGGCTACGCATTTCGAAGTCTTCCCGCTCTGCTTTCCGTATTTCTTTTGTTTTTTTTTTTGTTCCTTTTTTAAATACTTATTTTTGTAACGTTCCTTTCCTTGGCGTATTGTCGACTTATAAAGCGTATTATTTTTGTTTGTGTTTAGAGCGCCTCCGAATAATTTGTCTAAATTACATAACCAATTATTTGTTACTCTTAGGCATGCAATTACAATTGTTAATTGAAATAATTGTTATTTAGAACGTGTTGAATAATCTGCTGTGGCAACAATCAAAGTGTTATATCTCTAGAGCAGTGGTTCTCAAGCACTGTGCCGCGGCACTTTTGTGTGCCGCCAAATTTTAAAAGTGTGCCGCCGAATTTTGCAAATATTTAAAATTTTTGTCATAAACTATTTATGCGGTGTGTTGTAGTAAGTAAATAATTTTTATCTTTTTCTTTGTGTGCCGCCAAATTTCGAAATCGTTAAAAAAAGTGCCGCAACAAAAAAAAGGTTGAGAATCACTGCTCTAGAAACTAGTTCAATTGTTATTTTTATGTACATTACTTGTTACTAGTAGACGTGCATCGAAATTTTAAAACTTACATACAACTACATACATTTTACCTATTTTTTTTTATGGGTAAAAATGGTATGGTAACCCCGCCTGCGCTAACGGGATACACTGGCGGAGCACCAGTGAAGGGTGATAGATGAAAATGAAAACAGGCCAGTTAGCCCATCATGATGAATTCATCAGGAATTAACCATGATAGTTTCCAAGGGGAAACGCATGTAGGTCGACCTGGTTGGGTATATTGCTAGCAATGGGATTCTCAGTCTACATATATATATAATAAGTAAAATGTGGGGGGAAAGGGATTGTTAGTAATGCAGACTAAGAATATATATATATATATATATATATATATATATATATATTATATCTTTCCAGGGGGAACCGCGAGGACATTTAATCATCATGATATAGTGTATTGATGATGGGTCTGTTACAGCTCATTAATGTAAACTAGTTCCCCCCCCCCCCCCCACCCCATTGTGGGGACATTTATCATCATTATGAAATGATAATGATGATGCAAACCCCACAATGTTTTTGTGGTCAAATTATTTAAATATTATCAACATAGAGATTGTAGCCCGAAATAAACCAAAATATTTGTTAGTCCTAGTGTGCGATGCGTAAATAAATTGTTTATACATGATTGAGCAATGAACAAACAAACAAAAACACTGTTACATATGCAAAAATGAGATTAGATAGTAAAGATAAAATTGGACTTGTAAACAATACTGTTGGAGTATTAAGTGTGTTTCACTAAAGGTCCAAAAATATTATTAATATTATTCATAGATGGCAACTCTTGTAGTATTTTTTTTTAAGACAGTGTGTACTCTCTTATCTGTGGTCTTCTCCTTTTCCAACTGAAACTATAATGTACACGCGAGTGAAGAGATAAATTAAATATTATAAAAATATTGTCCGCTGTTTTTTTATAAAATACCATGACTTGTAAGCAGGACAATCTGTATAAATTAATTCTTGTTTCAGTTTTTTACATATATTTTTATTACAAAAATATTGATCAATGCCAAATTTGGAAAATTCTATTTCGAGTAGTTGCGATAAATCGGAAATAATTACAGTTTATAAAGATATAT